CATTAGCTAGGTGCAGGTGCCCTACTAGGTTAATGTAATATACTAAATCTGGGATCCTGTCCCTGGCTGCAAGTGTGGATTACAGTCAGACCTGGGACCAGCCAGGCCTGGGACCAGCCAGGCCTGGGACCCACAGTGATGTTGATTGCACAGCATTCTGAATGTGCTTAATGTCACTGAATTATACATGTCAAAATGGGAAATTTTGTTATATGTATTTTACACCAATAAAACAAAAAAATAATACAAATCAAAATTTTGTTTATCCTTTATAACCCCACCTCCATTCTCTGTTAAAAAACAAACAAACAGATTTTAAAGGATTTTTCAATAACCTCCCCCCATCTTTTGTGTTTATTATAACTTTTTTCTAATAAGATCTTATGTAAGAACTAATCTATCAAATGTATGCCTTTATATTGTTAAAGTTTGTACATATGGGTGAAACTTTTTTATTGCTTTAATCAAGATAATATTCAGAACATTTGGAATACTTTTGCATGAAATGACATTTAATAAATTCTAAATTTCTGTTCTATTTAATTGAAAAAAATGCCTACACACTTCAACATGAATGACCCTTGAAAACAATGCAAGCAAAAGAAAGCAGTTATAAAAGACCACATATTGTATGATTCTATTTATGTGAAATATCCAGAATAAGCCATTTATAGGGCTAGAAAGTAGAATCGTGGTTGTTTAGGGCTGGGGGATGGGGAATAGAATTTTGGATTGAGGGACAAACGGGAAGAGACTGCTAATGGGTACAAGGTTCATTTTAGGGAGAATGAAAATATTCTAAAATTAGATTGTGGTGATAGTTGTACCATCCCGCGAATATTTAATTGCATACTTTTTATGGATGAATTGTATGATATGCTAGTTATATCTCAAACTACCTTTTAAATACTTAAAGGTGATTGGTGTAGTTTCTCTTTTTGAAATAGTTCTTCATATATCTTAGGTTAGTTGAAAACAATCTAGCAATGTGAAGTGTAGCATTTTAAATATGCATATACTTCCTAACAAAGCTAGAGTCTGAGGGGGCTTTCTGATTGATAACTTTCAATGTGAATGCAAAGACATCTGAATGCAAGTATAAATATATTTTATACACTCTCACACACTGAGTGACTTTGTTAAGCTGGTAGTGTATATATTCAAAGCCAGGTAGAATATGATGATTAATTTGATGGCTGCTGGGCAGTAAAAATGACACTTAACATTTCTTTTTAAAAGGTACTCAAACACAGGGTTGCTTTTTAAAATTAAGCCTGTTTTCATTCAAATCATTATTTTTCTTTCCTTTTAATTTTTATTTAAAAAAAAATTGAGATTATTACCAGTTTGTAACAGGAGAGCTCCATGTAAAAGCACCATCTAGAAATATTACACACACACACACCTTCTTTGTGTGTACACATGCCCACTTGCATACTTGCCTGTCTACTCAGACTCTCATCCAGCTCAGAGCTCAGGTTTGCTCATTGGCTGCCATTCTTCCATTAGCCACATTTCAACTGAGTGCTCTTTTTTTTTCTGGTAACCTACACCCTGCTCATCATTTATACATTACTTCCATAAGAAAATACTTTGTGATTTCAGTCTGAAGCTCCAGCAGACTTTTAAAAATATAACGTATGGTGAGATGACCTATAAAGTGTCCGATTTTTACCTATGTGTATGTTGACATATATTCACGTGTAATTTTTTACTTGCTCCAAAAATGATGGCAGACCAATTATGTATGCTTGTTTAACTTCTTGAATATGTGCTTGGTTACCTGCTTGAGCCAAACTGAACTATTACTAATTGAAAATTTGTCTTCCTGTCAAATAGCAATTATATTTTAAGCCTCTTTCTATGTATATTGATGTGGATCTAAGTCATATCTACAGTTATATGTTTGGGAGTATACTTGGCACATTCATTGTAGAGTTCCAGAGAGGAACATAACTACCGCTCTTGGAGAGCTTCTGCCTTGGAGATTCATTATTGTACTGCAGGGGAGAACCAAGAAAATACTTCGGTAATTCCTGGAATGGGTTGCTGAGGAATCATAGAGTTAGAAGTAATCTCTCACTCTAGAGAACCTGTACCCTAAAAACAGAAGAATTTTGAAGGGTGAAGAAATGGAAGGTTATCCTTAACCGGCAGTGCTGAGTGAGAAGAGGGATAGAAAGAAAAAATATATATAAATACACACACACGTACACATATATTTGTCCCTTTGGGGTACATTTGTTGCAGAAATGTTGCGAAATCAGGCCAGCGAGAAACCAAGCACCACTCAGAGAGTTGGAGAACTCAGGTTTACTATGCTGGTGGTCCCAGAAGAGCTAGCGCTCTGAAGATCTGGGCTCCGATTAGGAGCAATTTTGATTTATATCCGCGCTGTTACAGTTGGCATGGGCTCTTTGGTTGATTTGTCCTCAGATGGTTGTAGACCACAGGAGTTGCCATGGGTTACATGTGCACACGGGAGTTGCTATGGGCTACGGGCAGTTAAGGAGCATGAGATTTTCGAACAGAAATTTAGGTAATTAGTCTGTTATCTAGACAGAACAATCATAGGGGAGGGTGAGTCTTCAGTTGATGTCTCATCACTCTGCCCTTCGGCCTATGCAATAGGCATGTCCACAGAAGCAGGACAAAGAGCTGATTACAGGATTAGCCATTTGAATGGAAAATTCCTCTTCACATTAATTTATGTTGTCATAATTCTTTTGGTAGGAGAAATACAGACTTTAATGAAGGGGCATGTTTATTTTTATTTTTGTGTTGTGTTCTGGTGCCTACTATTACAGAGTTGCAAAGCCTGTAGTATGAGGCTGAGGTAATTACTAGTGGGAAGTCTTATTTTGAGAGCCAAAGGGAAAAACCACCAGATTTATCTTTTTTGTTTGCTATTAACATTTTAATTTGTAAATTGTCATACTTTAACAGGGCAAGCTTCATCTAGTGCAGTATCCTGTTTATAGTAGTGGGCCACCCTGAGTGTTTTCAACGGAAACTGCACTACAGCTTCTGGCCCTGGGTCTTGTTTGCTGGGAATGCCTTTCACATTTATTCTATACACATCAGTGAAAATTCTCTCTCCTTCACTTACTACTTAAGGAAACTAGCTTATTTAAAAGCTAATCTATTTATTGATGGGTTCCCATTAATCTATATGAAAATGTGTTACAGTGAACTTTAAATAATTTTTTTTACCGCTACTGCATCCTTTGCACTTCTTCATCTCCGAGGAAGATTAGCTCATTTACGTATTGAGTACTTACATATAAGCACATACTGAATTATCTTATTTTCACAATAGTCCAGTAACACTATGAGGTGGGAATTCCCATTGTCTTCATATAACAGATGACAAAACCGAGACACAGAGATAAGAGAATGAAATTTTATTTCACAAATTATGTTATTTGTTAAGGCCATCTTTTTCCACAACAGACATGTTGAAAGTTAACTAAAGCTCAGAGTCCTGCCTCTTTAAAAAACAAAGGATTTTTTTGTACAACAATTTTTTTTTTGCACTGTTTGAGAATTTTGATTTTAAGGTGTGAAAAACCTGAAAGGCAGAGAGTCATAGCAGGCCAATGTATTTACTGTAGGGGCCCTCACGATTAGTGCTGCCCTGTCTCACAAAGCCTTAGTCACAGTAGGTGGTGAGTGAGGATATAAAGAGCCTACTGACAGAATACCCAGCCAAGAAATGTTAACAGTTCCGTGAAGGGGATTTTCAGATAATGTGTTAATCAGTTATTCTTTTGCTAAATAAGAAATTCTTCAATTCCAGTTATGGTAGAGAAGGTAGTTACAGGATATCCATGAGTAATATTGTTTGGTTATTTGAATTCCTTAGTCAAAAGGATTTTTTTAAAACAACTAAGCTGCTAGTAAGAAGGTGACTGATTGGAGTTAATTGCTTTTTTCTTCCACTTTAGTAATAATGCTAATTTTTACAGTCAGTGGAAAGAAAATAAAGAAACAAAGGGCATGGTGAATACATATGCATGACTTGTCCCTGAATAACTAAGAGGGGACTATATGGAATTAGCTGGCTCTTCAATTCCGTAAGGTCCCTCAAAATATTATTCAAAGAATGAAATGAGATAACAGATATGACAGTACAGTATTTTGAAAACTAAAAGTCACTGGGCACATTATTAAAAAGCAGCTTCTTGACACTTGTTTCTCTGTGAGATTCTTTACACTCTTGCTTCTCCTCTTGTCCCCTCCCTCTTTTTCCTCCTCCCTTGTAACCTTGGAGGCATTTTAAAACTATCTCTGAGTTTCTTAATTTGTTTCACTTAAATTTGCTCTTCTTAACTTTGCAAGATACATTCTTCTTCCTGTTCCTCCCTTACTCCCCTTCTTTGGAACTCTGCATCTTAAAGGTAGATATCAGTAGTGACTAGTGGTGAGCTTCACTGTCTGAAGCTCTTTTGCATACTCAAAACAATATGTGTTCATTAACTATCTGGGAAAAGAAAAAACAATCGAGTTATAGATTACTTTTTCTCCTTCAGTACTTTTTTTTTTTTAAGTGTTGACTTACCCTAAATTTAGAAACTCTATTCAAGGATGCAGGGATTATATTGCCTCAACTGTTTGCCTGAAATATTACTGATTGTCCTAATGTAACAGACAGAATATAACACTGATTTGAGGTGAGGGGAGGAATGGTGTTGATTTTGAAGTACTCAAAAATCTTTTTAGTCTTTAGGCATTACATAAGTTTATCTCTGTTTTATCACCTGAGATGATGTTGAACATGAGGAAATAATTCTTATGTGGAATCCTCCAAAAGTGATATTAAATTTCCAAATGTCATCATAGAGTACTGCCCAGCTGACATTCACTTTAAGAGCCCAGATGATTGGTCTGTTTCAGCTATGTTTACTTGCTTCCACTCAGGAGTGCTGATCTGAGGGAAACCATTACTTGTTTTGTTAAAGTGTTTAATCTTTTCTCCTTCCATTTTTTTTTTTTTAAAGGAAATGGCTAAAATCCTTAATCATCCCAGAGTCTACGCTTTTCTGCACATACCAGTCCAATCTGCCTCTGATACTGTACTCATGGAAATGAAAAGAGAATACTGTGTGGCTGACTTCAAAAGAGTAGCGGATTTTCTGAAAGAGAAGTAAGTCTGTCAGCACTTAAGAAAATAACCATTTCTTTTTTTCTTTCAAAAGCATTTGGTAAAAATGCACTTATTGTAGCCACAATTAAAGGTACCAGAGAAAAGGCGAGACTTTTGAAGCTTTCAAAGCCTTTAAGTTTCTTTAGGCACCTTGATGTGGTTTTTTCTTTCTCTTCAGTTTATACCCACCTTCCATCTGTACATGACACACCATTAATTTGTGTAGGATCGCCAGTCTAAGGTGATATGCACTGTGATCATTTTTATACCTGACCTAGTAGATGAAAACTGTTTTAAGCTTTGCCCTGCTTAAATCTCCTTTAATGTGGCTTTTGAATTTGCTAGCTAGTTTTGACTTGGAAGTAGGCCAAATTATGTTACTACAAAATATATAATTTTCTACTAAGTAGCATTTCTTGAAGAGTATCTCGGACATCTCAGCTTTTACACACTATTCCTGTAGTTTACTTGAGGAATCATGATTTATCAGGAGGTTTGGGGATTTTATTTTTTAAGGGTCAAATTGTTATGAGCAAAATTAAGGCATTTTACACAATCTCAGACATGAATGATAATTTTGTTTCCATGCAGCCCATAATTATATTCTTCAGAATCCTTCTTCCCATCATCACCAAACACTGAATGTCTTCTCTGATTATACAAGGCAGGAAATAGTAGTGCTGGCCAAGATCATACAGAACTTTCTCAAGTCCAGGGCAGTGTTCTCCCTTTGGGGATATGTCATTTATCTTGGCATATTTGTGGCATGGGTCTTCTTACTTTCCATAATTTTTTTCCATAGTTTTTTCTTTTGTTGTTTTTCTTAATCAAGACACAACTTTTTATTTGCATCTTCTTGTTTATAATTATGTATCTTTGTACCATGTCAGAGTATTCCATGGTTATATGATGGCCTTATACAAATTGTAAGCAATTATTTTTTCCACCATCAATTAGTTATTTGTCCTGACTCTATACAAATCTTTTAAAATCTTTTTCTTCTTCTGTTTACTTTCTCCTTTCTTACAAATCTTTCCTTTCTGTGTCTTTCTAATTTTTTCTTTTTCTTTCTTTTTTTTTACCTTTAGGCATTTCCTCATTATCTTAACCACCAGATATAAAAAATACTTAGTACGCATTCAAACAAATACAGCTAATTGTTTGAATATTCAAATTAGTGAATAGAAGATATATTTATTCTAGGATTTCATAATTACAATCATTAAGTATATACAGCCTTCAAAGTAGAAAACAGAATAATGATGGATCTCTGCCATCTCTAATACTTTCTGATTTTAAACAGAACTGAGGTCAAGACTAAAGAATAAAGATTTTTATCATAGATGTTCGTTGTTGGCCTGTATTCCTCCTTTGCAGTTATTCTAGCTTATTGTAGCTAAACTTGTCTCATGTCAGAGAATCTTTTTACACACACTGGCACTAGTGAATAGAATGTTTTCAAAATTGAAAATAAATTGTTGCAGCTGTGAAATTTCTTGCCTGTTCCTTACTAAAGCAGTAGCAAATAATGCACACAGTTCATACCTGTTGCACAAGATTTAGCCAAGTATAGACATGCATCCTGTTGTGCAGAATAGCCTAGAACACTTTCCAAATAGTTTGTTGCATTAATATGATTCAATGAGGTTAAGGAATCAACATCTCTCTTTTACCTCCATTTGAGTGAGTGCTGACTCAGTTGTTTGGGGAATTACTGTGGCTACTTTACTGGGTAACAATTTCACCACAAGTTCTATCCTTTTATGTTGCTCCAAAGATGGACCTGTTAAATCTGTTGCATCTTGAGCAGCTTCAACACCATTTGTGAGCTATATGGAGGTCAAAAGATGATCACGTCAAGCACAGTATTAGAAAATAGTCTCTTGCCTTTATTCATGGGCTGATTTCTTTAGATTTTGAGTTACTTCGAAGCATCCATGTAACTTTTCTAGAACTATTCCAACTGGCTAGAAGACCCCAGAACCAAGTAGTCTACCCAGGGATCTCCAGTATTTCTAATAATGGTAATTTCAAAGATCCCTGGAAAGGATATTGAAAATGCCTAGAGGAGACATCCATTCATCTACAGTTTTAGTTTCAAGTGCTGTAAATTACTGGAATTATAGCATATGAGTCTAGCCATTTAACACCTTTCGGAGGTTTTGTTTTTTTTATTTACTCTGTATTACATATATTCAGTGAGGGCCAAAACAACCATGGTATACAATTTCAAACAGATTATTTCTTTATAATTTATAAGATGTATTGAAAAACTGCATTAGGCAGTCAATAATGTATACATGATATATACAGCTGATGACCAAGAAAAATACAAGTACCCTTCAGAAAAAGAAGAAATTATATTATCACTACTAATATGGTAATTCTTGCATAGTTTTAGACAGTTCATCAACCATAAAATTGTATATCTCACTCAGTCCATCCTGTTCCTTGTAGTATAGCCTCACTCTTGGCAGGACACTATAATCCAGCTTTATTCCTTAGTGAAAAAGTTTTCCTATCCTCTCAGGGAAGCACGTCCATCCAAGAAATAATTTTCAATTATAATGGACATTTAGAAATAAATATTTTAAGCAGATTTCTACTCTGATATTCTGCTTATTTTTTTTTTTCCTGTAAAAACTAGCATAGCTTTATGCCAAATAGATAAATGCTTATTGTAAACACCAAAGTTTCAAGGATTCTATAGAACCACTAGTCTGGATAACCGATCCAGCACAAAGTTATTTGGTTCAATATTTATAAAAATATATACAATGTTGTCATTCTTAGAAAGAGGGTCTACTATTTTACACCTAACACTCTATCATAAAATGGCCCTTACTTAAAATGGTGTGTTCGGTGCTCACCTCTCCTGAATTTTATCTCCTACATAAATATGCCCCTTTTCATTTGAATCTTATTTCCTCTGAAGCCTTTTTTGTAATGAACTTTTAACAAATAAGAGTCTTATTTATTTATTTATTTTTCCCAGCCGTGTGAGGCTTCTCAGATATTCATGTTATGAATTAGGGACAAGATATTTCTGTCCCCTCAAAAAATCTTATCTTTAAAACAAACTACAGCCCTTCAGACTGAAATCCAAATGATGGGTGTTTACCTAAAGCTGTAGGCTTTTAAACTTCTAATTCAGTAGTATTCGTGGTGCCATGCTTCTCAGACAGTGGAGGTGAAATCCTTTTAATTAATTTTCTTTATAGTTGAAATTGGCCCAAGTTTAAACTGGGAGCAATATAAGTTTACATATGAGCCAACTTGAAGCTGATTCATTATTCTCTTCATTTGTTTGAAAGTTGGCAACTGTTATCATAACAGCAGCTGGATTGAAGATAACCTAGTAGTGTTGGCACATGTTGAGCCATATGGGAATTTATTAAATCATGCAATCTTTGCAAAGAAAAGTGTCTAAGTTACTTAATATACTGATTTAAAACAGCAGGTTATGAGCAGACAATCATATGACATATTATTCTATTCAGATTCATTAATCCAGTTAGAAAATTAACTAAGAAATTTGATGTTTTTATTTAAATAGATAAGATGATTTCTGGAACTATATAATGGGATTTGTAAGGATATGGAAGAATACTACATAAAGCAAGAACTGCAATTCTAATTTTAGAAAGATTCATGTTTTTATAATTTTTAATAAATACTTCATAAATTTTATTACTTTTATTAATTGTCACTTAACTGCCTTTTGTTATCTTCTTAGCATATTACTAGAATAAAAAAAAAAGAGTATAAAACTCGAATCATTTATCCTTATTTTCTTGTGTAATTTTGAACAAGTTACTTCTCAATGAGAGGATTTTTCACTTCGATATGTTGAGATGATATTAGGGTTCTCAGGACCTTGCATCTTTGGACATAGCCTTTAATTGGGTCCTATTTATTTGAGCAGCATTGTATTTACACAATCACTCCCCCAAATAAATCATATATTCACTTATATTTACAAAATGACACATGCAGAGTTCTTCTTTCAAATATATGTTCTAATGCTAAGTAAAAATATCTGAGTCCTCAAATTCACACATAAATGTGGGAAAGAAATATGTAAGAATGTCCTGTCGATAGTTACATTTTAATAAATGAAACAGTTTGTATATTAAAAGACCTAACAGTCTACACAAATGATTTTGTTGGAAGTCCAGTGGCATTTTGTTTTATGTTAAATAGACTTTAAACTTAGAGGTCAAGATCTGTCTCCCTCACTCAGTAAATATACTTTGAATTAATGACCATTTACATTTTACCTGAAAGCAACATAGGTCTAAAATAAATTACAACTTACTATAGCATCTTTATGTTGACTTTTAATTCCATGCTGTTATCCATCTCAAGATTTACTATTATCATTTGTTAATATACAATATACTATGGACTTCTGGATTAGTTTGTCTTGTGTCCTATAGAATATTAACCCTATTAGTATTGTAATATCTATTCACATACCCCCGAGTTTACTATACCCAGAGATTTCCTAGTGAAATGCTAGAACCAATAACTGATGAGCACTCGGGGTAAAAGGGAATTTTTAGTGAGGAGAACAAACTAGAAGGGAAGTGGCCACCTTGCAGAGAAAGTGCTGTCCCCTAATCTGTCCACTGTATCCTCAGACAGTGAAGGGGCACAAGGGCACGAGCCAGGATCACTTTGGCAGGATGATTTCTGTAAGTGAGTCACAGTTATCTCATGTTGTCCTATCCTGTGACCTACTTGTCTAGTCTGTCTGCAAAAAATGATGCTAAGTCATTAACATCCTGAGTTCTTTTCCTTCTTTCATTAGTTCCAATCATCCACATGTCCTGGAACACAATCTGATAAAAGACAAGTTATGTTAAATTTGTATTTTGTTTTGTTTTTTTTTTCTATCTAGTTTTATTCCTAGTGTCTTGGAAATACAAGTAGCAATATATGTTGGAAAAGGAGAAAAGAAATTGAAAATAAAAGAATGATTGAGCAAGGATTAGATA